TAAGCCAAAAACGTCACTGATGTCACAGCATACAGTGTATGTCTTTCCTACCCACCATTTGAATGGGCAGCAGGTCTTCGACAGCGGTATTGCGGTGATTGAAGGTCATTCAAAATATCCGGTGGGTCCGAAAGTTGTACCAAGGTGATCCTGGACATGCCAGTCAGACAGTCATCACGTCAGACCAAACCCAGTGTATCTTGAATGCATAATCCTAGAAACCCCAGGGGACATGGGAACGAGAGCCAAGTGTATACCATGGGAATCTAGACTTGTCCGACGGAGACGCATACTTCCACCCCTTGCAAACCGATAGAAATCTCTGCAATCGCATTCGTTCTCGCAAGTTTCGAAATTACTGCATCGGGAAACGCCCGCAGAAGGCGTCCATCGTGTATCGGCGTCCAGCGAACAGGCGGAGGTGGTAAAAAGGAAAATTTGATGCCATCCCATCTGCACGGTTACCAAAGCTCCCTGTCCGCGGCTGACTCGCGCGTTCATTGGCTGTCGCAGGCAGCAAGCCTCACCAACGAGCTTCAGAGCATCGCGACTTCACGACGTGCACGAAGGTGAATGATGACCGTAAGATTCAATGCAGATCGCCTGGATGAGCGCACAGCCTCTGAAATGGCTCACACGTGGTGTGTATACTGCGTAATGGAATCCTAAAAGCCGAGCATTTGGTGATCACGCGCGAACCAGCGCGTCGGATTGTCAGCGCCTTCATGCACCCGGCTGCAGGCCAGTTAGTCCCCGCTTTACGCCATTCGACGCCGTGCTTGTGTATATAGAACCCTGATTCCCATCTTTTCCAGTGCCACGGGATATCCAACCGCGGACTTTGAGATTGTGGTTCTTGTTGAGGTAGTTTGGTTGGCCAATTGCTTCTCTGAGGGACCTGAGCTTCGTCGGTACGACGTCATCCCCGGATAATCTTCGAACGCGAGCCGGAGATCTTCAAGACCGCGACTTTTGCGATATTCTCAAGACGACTTATTCATATTTATGAAAGAGGGGAAATATTAGCCCAACATGTCGCTCACGCAACGAGTGACATCGATGGAGGAGCATGAGCCGTGGAGCAGAGAGGCGAGCCCGGACTCTAGGCACCGGAAGATGAGCTTCAACCCAGTCGGCACCTGGACGGAGCAAACAGGCGAAGAGCCAACCATAGGCGCGTTCGAAGTGCCCAGGTGGAAAAGACTGTGTATGTATCATGGAACACAGCATGGGCGCACACGAGCTAATATCGCGTAGTCCAGGTCTTCTTCGCCGTTATCTACTGCCTCTTCGCCGCCGGTGTCGTCTTCGGTTACGCCGCGATAAAACCCGTACTACTCGAAGAGGGCGTCTACAGAGACTACTGCACAAAAGAAGAGCTGGACCAAGATGTACACGTCTGCTACGAACAGGAGCTCCGGCTCAACCTCATGTTCACGATCGCTGCCGTCTCCACGAACGTCGTCGCGCTTCCCGTCGGTACCATCCTCGATCGCTTCGGTCCACGCGTATGCGGTATAACTGGTGCGATATCCATAACGATTGGCGCATTGCTTTTCGCATTCGCGAAGGAATTGGCTTTCGACGCGTTCATCCCTGGATACTTGTTCATGGCGTTAGGTGGACCATTTATCTTCATCTCGTCGTTCCAGCTAAGCAACACGTTCCCGCAATACTCTGGACTCATCCTGGCGCTTTTGACTGGAGCTTTCGATACCTCGAGCGCGATCTTCTTGATGTACCGACTCATCTACCAAGGCACCGATGGCAACTTTTCGATCAAGAAGTTCTTCCTTATCTACCTTATCGTTCCGGCATTTATCCTCGCAGTTCAGGTTCTTTTCATGCCATCGGTATCGTACAAGACAGTTGGTGAACTCGTTACTAGCGCGGAGGAGGAGCAGGTCATCCATGACTCGGACGACGAGATTGAAGACGCAGCAACCGTTCGAAGCCTTCAAGATGCGCGACGAGCACATCGCGACAGCATTGTTAGCGAGATTACGTCTTTGCTTGGCACAAAAGATGGCCAGAAGCAGGCACAAGAGGAAGACAAGAAGAAGAACATTTCAGGTGTATGGGGTGCGCTACACGGTCGCACCGCCAGCCAGCAGATTCGCACACCCTGGTTCATCCTCATCACGCTGTTCACAGTGCTGCAGATGACGCGTATCAACTACTTCGTCGCCACGATTCGGACGCAATACACGTATCTTTTCCATGACTACGAGAAGGCGGTCGAGATCAACAACTTCTTTGATGTCGCGCTTCCGGTCGGTGGTGTTTTGTCTGTACCGTTCATCGGTCTACTTCTGGACAACACAAGCACTACTTTTACGATGGCGCTGCTCGTCACTGTTGCTACCACAATTGGTGTGCTAGGCGTGATTCCGGAGACATGGGCTGCGTACGCAAACATTGTCCTCTTCGTGCTTTACCGACCCTTGTACTACACTGCAGTTTCGTAAGTTGTCCAATCCTCCGCTCTTAAGCTCCTTGCTAACACTACTACCAGCGACTACTCTGCCAAAGTCTTCGGTTTCGCCACCTTTGGAAAGGTCTACGGTCTCATCATCTGTCTCGCCGGTGTCCTCAACTTCTCGCAATCTGCTCTCGATGCCGCCACACACAAGACCTTCAAGAACGACCCTGTGCCTATCAACGTCATCTTGCTTAGCTTGGCGCTGCTCGTCGGTCTAGCCCTTGTGGCGTTCGTGTGGCGGAAGAGCCACAGGATTCAAAGGGAGAATATCGAAGAGGAGGCTGAGGAAGCAAGAGAGTCGCTTATGCCAGATGCTAGTGGAAGCCAAGGAGCGAATGGCTATGGGTCGATGAATGGAAGTGGGACTGTCAGTCCTAGTGAAGACAACAGGGGCAGAAGATTGTAGGGCAAGGTATGTGGCCAACCTGCATAGTGATGTTCTTTGTATCGCGGTATCTGGCACGCGGGCTGTGTGGCTTGGAAACCCAGGCGCATGTCCCTAGCCACCTCACAGCCGACCCTGGCCGCATCTTCAGTGCAAGGGCATATGTGTACACTTACAGTACTTCCTCATTGTAGTTCAGCATGGCGAGGCGTTTGGGATCATATTGTAGTATAATGTATGAAAGCATGGTGACATGCGCGGGGCACATTATTTTCTCAGTAATGCTATGCCAGCTGCCGCCTAAGAATTGTGGGGCAAACATCAGACTAGTGTAAAGACCCAGCGTTGTTGTTGTTCATGGAAGTCAGCCGCAGACCTGCCAAGGTCGAAGCGAAGGGGCGGGGTCGGGGCTGTGTCTTTCAGGCTAAGAGGATGCCTTCGTCACAACCTCAACTTACCAAATGTCAGCCAGATCCCACAAGCTCATTCTATCATCGGATAAGCTGGTATTCAAAGAGGCTTCTGTCTCTCAAATTCAGATCACACAATGCCATCATATGCTAGTCGCCTCGGAGCTCCTCATCAGCTAGAGATCCTGGATGGGGAGAAGCAAGCCTAAGGCTGCTCTAGCCTTACGCCTCAATTACACCAAAAGTTTGAACAGGCAAGCTTCGCCACGCTTTATACTACTAAGATACACTTGATGCCTCAGCTGGAGCACTTAGCGCCAATTTTCAGATCGCGTCAGGCACCAGCCCACATTCGCGGAGAGATCTCTACCTCAAAGATGATCCTCTCTTTCTAATGTCTCACACACCACCCCGCTGATCCACCATTTGAGTTTCTCCGCGACGGCAATGTTCGTCTCTGAAGCGTTAATCACGCATCGTGCTGCCGGGAGAGACATTGGCGTAACCAACATTTTCTACCTTTTTGGATGGCGCTGGATGGTCTGCTGCAGAGTGGGAGTTCAGTTCTTGTTAATCCAGTTCAGAATCCCCCCTTTGCTTTTCGTTTGGTTGCTCATCAGGTTCTTGTCAATCGTTTTCTCGAAATGCGGACTTGGAACAGGAGACTTCGCTAGTTCTGTCAGGATGCGCGGGTTTATACTGGTGTGTATGGTACAGTCTGCATGCCATGAAGTCAATACTAAAACATGCTAGCGTTCGTTTCTGAGGATCATCTCGCGACAAACGAATCCTGCATGGCACTTTTTCTGGCACATGTACTTTGTGTGCGCAAAAGATGGAACTGAATTCATTGAAGACTATACGGCAGCATGGAGCATTCAACAAGGGTTTGATAAAGAAGCGATCATGTTTGTGGATAACGGCTGGCGTCTCGCGGTTCCCTGCTTAAAAGACGCAAAAGACAAGGCGCTTCTAGAGCATCTACGGATGTTTTACGACCTGACCCGGACGGGGCGCGGTGTTTTCGAGGTTCTTGGACTGAAGACAAGCCAGAGAATCGACATAGTAAAGGTATGAGATTATGAAAATCATTTACGCTATTGCCGCTCTTTTGCTAATGTTATAATTAATCATCAGCTGCAACAAGACCATGCAGTTGGCGATCGTCTCGGAGTTTCCCTAGAATTAGGTCGACATGGGTCCTACAGTCGCCAGATCTACTACTTCAGAGATCCATCTGATGTTACAGGAACTGCCATACGGGACAGGCTTGTGACGGAGGACGTTTTGACCGCGAGTCACCAACAAATCAATGCACTCAATATTGTGCGAGGCTGGGATCCACATGTCGCCAGCTTGGTCGTTCTCTTTCCGATTGCACTGAGTCTTAGCATCTCGATCATTTGGTCTGCTGTGGCAGTAGCAAGCTTCAAGACGGATGTTCAGACCAGCTTTCAGACAGGTTTCACTATCGGAAGCTATGTGGTAACAGCAGGTACACTCAAACCAGCACACGTCTTGTTGATTGATAAGGGAGCTGACACAAACAGGAGCGCTTCTTATCGCTCTCGTCGCATTTCTCGATACGAAAACGAATGCCTCGTAGCATTCATGTTTGTAATGCAGTGCAAGGTTGCGTCTCAGAGACACGGATAGAGGAGTCTGGCAGTGCTCATGAACTTTGCTTGTAAGAGAAACATAGCCGACGGTTTATTGTTCTAGCTCAATTGCCTGACAAGATTCCGCGCGCCTCACACTCGGCTTCGTATGTCGCCAATTGCTCCATCTTCTTTTCAACGATAGAACTCATCTCCTCTTCCAAGTTCTCGCTGAGCTTTTCATCTCCCGGTTCATGGAGAGCGCTCCAATATACCACGTCAACATCCCAGCCTTTCCTGATACCGTAGTTGAACCAGAACCTCTTTGACGTCCAAGAGTCTCGCATGCGATGAGCGAGAGAGACTATCTCTCTCGAGTGTCCCTCTATCTGTTTTGCCTCAACCCTCGCCATGGCTCGGAGGAATTGCTCTAAGCGTGGCACGTACAAGGCTTCGAAGTCCTCCATAGCGAATCGCTCAAGCATAAGGCCAGGACTGACCATGGCAAGCCACCATGGTGGGTCGTAAGCGAACGGAGCGGGCATAGTATTGACGAACTCGAAATCTAGAACCGCCACGATCTTCAGTGATCCGTCATCATATCTGGCGAGCATGTTTTTGGGACGGAAGTCTTGGCAATACGGTATGAATGGGCCGTCATCGGCCTCGGACGGAGGGTAATATCGCTCAATCAGCTGTTTGAACTTGTGGCGTGCAATGAAGCATCTCTCTGCATCCTGACGACTGTGTACAAGGTTCCCCTGTACTTGAAGATGGATCAAATTCTCGTCTGCACGGTAATGAAGGAAGGCTTGGGTGCTGGTGAACGCGACTTCAGGAAACTGATCTACTGGATAGTCTGTAACGACAGAAGCTAGGTTGTTCATGTTTGTGGTGAGGGGCCTTTCAGTCACCGTCCACGCGCCCGATGTATCCTTGTTGATAGGTCCAATTGCAGAAAAGTGCAGTCGGGAGATCTGAAGCTAGTCGGCTATCTGCTCGTATACAAGATCGACTTCTGCTTCTTTCTGGTCGTCTTGAAGCTGCCGCAAGATTGTCTCTAGTTCTGTGCCCTCGATATAATCCATGATGATATATGGACTAAGCTGAGAAGGACATTCCTTAGCCGTTCCCCAGTCACGTATCTTGGGGACAGGTATGGCAGTCTTTTCGGCCAGATACTCCAGAAACCGGACTTCGTTCTTGATCTTTTCCTCGAGAAATCTAGCAGCAGTTATTCCTCGCTTCGGGAAACGAATGATGACGATGTCTTCTTCGCCGAATCTTACGACAAGATTGACATTATATGAACCTTGAAGGTATCGGACGAATTCTCCCGGAACATTGATCCTCAGCTTCTGACCCACAAAAGTGACAATCTCTTCGTTCGCGGCCTTTACTTTAGCAGCCCAAGCCTCGAGCTCAGCATTCCCAGCCTCCTCCGCGATTTTGTCAAATTCGGTCTTCATTGCAATTAACACTTATGTACGCGGCGTACGTCTGCGATATCGAAGTACGCGTTTTGGAAAGCAGCAGGACGTGAAATGCAAGGGTCAAGGGTAATGCGAGGGTTCGAGTGCAGGATACACAGCGGTTTCGTGTCGATGGCTCGTGTCAACAAGGCGCTAGCCTGATTTCAGTCTAGTGTTGTCGCGTCAGGATGTCGCGTCACGGCGTGGCAGTCGCCAGCCATTGCGAACACCTACCATCCTCACATCTCACGACGAAGATTATGCACCCCAACCCTAGGATTCTTCCAATGAAATTTGAAGCCTTCTGGGGCTTCTACATCATCAATTATCGCGAGCGCTGTCGGTGGGCGTGACGGGTTACAGCAAGTCTTTGGCATTATTTGCTACATTAAACAACCAACACATTCCATGCCGTTCTAATACGACCAAGAAAGCATACAACATTCGTTCTCTCTCCGGAACGTGCGGCCCTACTTCCACGTGCTAGCAACAGTGGCAGCGCTCGAGCACCCCTTCGGCACGGTATACACGCGGTTAGCACCTGACTCGTAGGTGACGGTACCACTGCTTTCGACCTTGATGAACTTGTATTCGAAGCTGACACCAGCCGGAAGGTTGAGCTTTGTCGACCAAAGCGGGTTTGCAGTGGTGTATTGGCTCGCAGATAGCGCAGGCGCAGACGCTGCGTTCCAGCTGCCGAGCTGGGCAATCGAACCAACGATCTTGACAGTCTGGCCGAACGATGTCGTGGTCTTTGAATTGAACGTCACAGCTACTGTGGAGACAGGCGATGCGCAGCCAGTAGGTGCCGCCGTCGAGGTTGAAGTCGCCTTCGCTGAAGACGCGGGAGCCTTGCTCGAAGCTGGTGGGGTCGAGCCGCCCGAGCCAGTGCCAGTAATCTTGATGTCTGCGCAAGTCAGGTAAACCTGCGGTGTTTGGAACGAGTTCCACTTGAACGACAGCAGCGTGTGGTTGCTTGAGTAGTTGGGGATCTTGATCTTCGAGCTGACTGTGTATCCGCCTGCAATGCTGGTGTAGCACGAATTGAGTGGTGCGTTGTCGACGCCCCTGCATTTTGAGCCATCATTGAAGCCACCGCCTACTTAGTGTCAGTATCGCGTTACTATCCCAAAATGTTGAGATGTACTCACATGTGAACCAGTCATTCCTCCAGCAAGGCTGACCCTCTTGGCAGTCAGAGTTGTAGCCACACGTCTGTCCAGCGACATCAGTGCACTTCAGTTCACCAGCCTCGAAACAGTCTTCAGCAGCCTGCTTCTCGGCCTCCGTAGGAAGGTACCCAGGCGTCAGAAGTTTGTCAACGAGAGCCTGATTCTGGCAGATGCGGTAGCTGAACATGCCACCATGGTCACCATTGGCATCGAGGCACCATTGTACATCCACGACATCGCCAGATTTGTAGGTGATGACAGGTTGCGAACCCCAGCGAGGACCGGGCTGGTTGTAGTCGACGGATACGCGGGCGTTGTAGCCGCAAGGGCCTGAGCGACCCACCGCTGCGGCGTCAAGGTCAGGCCACGCTGCGACAGGTTCGAGGATGGTACATTCCGGGCATGTATCAGCGCCAGACTAGAAGACGTAAGCAACGACTCGAAATGTATCTCCGATGTCTCCGAATGGACGTCATTACTTACTTGAGCATTCAAACCAGTCCTGCTCATAGGGGAAGAGAGATAGCCATGTGCGTTGGCACTGGCCACAAGAGCGAGAAGAGATGCAATCTTGGAGAACATGGTCGATGAATTTGTCCTCTTCAAAAGTCTTGGGGAGAAAAGGAGTAGTAGAGATCGACTCTTAAGCGATTGACTGACCTACTGAACAGCATTATGAAGTACGTCTTTGCTGGCTATATACATGTTCTTCCTCCACCATCCCCATGATCAGCGGGTCTTCGATGGCCTCCATGGGCACGACGATCTCTTGCTCTCGGTTGCAGGTAGTCCCCGCATACGTATGGTTGTCGGCTTCTATCGAACTTCATTGGGTCGAAGTCGGCATATAATAACCCTGGACCGCTTGACTGACCACATGGACAGGCCCCAAGAAAAACAACCGTATCCGCTTAATTGCTCCCACGAGTTTCGCGAGCCGCAAAGCATTAGCACGTCCGGCTGATACCCATGTAGCCCCCAAGTACCGTACCCCAGATTCGTGGAACATTACCCCGTTAGCTGCATCAACCCGCTCCGGGCACCAACTACCATAGTGCGTCCGCCTTTTACACAAACTATTACTGAACAATGTAAAGCGCTTCGGTCGCTTTCCGTATCCATCGTAGTCCTCAAAATCGTCGACTCAGCCATTGGCTCGCTGTCGGGATGACAGGAAACATGCTAACCTACCTAGGTAGTTACGATAATTAGTGTAACAGAATGATCATGGGGACTTCAGAACGCTTCTCGGCCCGCACCTTAAATTTAAACAGCATGTTTGATGGAAGCTGGGATGCGGGGAATCGAATTCTAGACGATGAGACTAACGAAGAGCCGAGTTGTATCGGCTGCATCAAATTCGGTATCGTGAAGCACCCCGGCATGCTCTCTCGATCTCAGATACCACGTGCCTTACATTCAGCCTTATATGCATCCAGTTGCTCCATTTTCATCTCCACAAACGCCTCCATCTCGTCCTTCTGATCACCATCCAGCACCTCATCACCCGGTTTATGTAGCGCAGCCCAATAGACAGCATCAATGCTCCAGCTATTTTTCATCGCGATATTGAACCAAAATCTGTTGGAAGTCCACGAATCGCGCATTCGAGCGGACAGTGGTACTACAGTTCCACCCATCTCCTTCTCTTTCTTCTCCATTACCTGCAGGAACTGTTCGATGTGAGGCTCAAGTCTGTCTTTCAGGGCACCAAAATGGAAGTCATTGTCGATCCACGTAGTTGGTGCGCAATATGGTAAGCCACCACGGTGGATCATGGGCGAATTGCACGGGCAGAGCGTTACAGAATTCGAAGTCCAGGACAGCTTTGACGTTCAGATCGTCGTCTACGAGGATATTAGACGGGCGAAGGTCCCAGCAATATAACTTGAAGGGGCTTGTTTCGGTGTCGGTTAACAGGTATTGGTCGATCGATTGCTTGAGGCGATGGCGAGCGATGAAACATCTTCTAGCGTCTTCACGGTTCTCCACGGCGTTTCTTTGGGTGTGAAGATGAGCTAGGTGTTGATCGGCGACCTGCTCAAAGTAGGCCTTTGGAGATGAGATGCTTGTAGTAGGGAAGTACTCGGTTGGGTAACTCAGAATGTTCCTTGCTAAAATGTTCATGTTATCGGTGACAGGTCGCTCGCTAGCAACCCATTGGTCTGAACTGCTCATTCTTAAACCACCGGCAGCATTGAAATCCAGCTGATGTATTTGCAGCAGATAGTCGGCTATTTGGCTGTAGGCATGAAGAACTCTTGGGTTGCCCAAGTTTTTCCAGAGTTCCATCTCGGCACCGTCATCGGTATTTGTAGGTCTTCGTAACTCTTCGATCAATGGTTTGCCTTCAACATACTCCATTATGATATACGGGCCAAGCTGTGACGGGCTATCGCTAGTCAGACCCCAGCTGTATACTTTCGGTAGCGGGATCGTGGTCCTGCGCAATAAATCCATTACTTGGACTTCATTTCGAACTTTCTCATCCAAGAAACATGTAGCTGTTGTTCCTGGCTGGGGAAAGCGTATGACATGTGTAGGCTTTGCGTTGAGTTTGACGACCAGGCAGATGTTGTAGGACCCTTTTTCGAGATAGCCACCAAACTCTCCCACCACGTCACCTCCAACTTCCTTGATGACAAAGTCAACAATCTCCTTCTGTGCAGCGTCAAGTCTTTTCTTCCAAGCCTCATACATGTGCTCTGCATCTTCCTGGGCTAGCGCATCGTAGAGCATCATATCTGCGGCTGGGGTAGGTGTGGGTAATGATGGGTGAAATGTCAGGAGATGGGTAGCAGTAGACGGGGTTGTGGTTGAAGCGTCATTTAGAGATATATATGCATATGCCCAAGATACTGGGTCGGTCCGGTTGTGACACGTCTGGCTAACTAACCTATTCCTCATAAAGCGCGCTCTTAGTTCATGTGACATTGCGGCGTAGCATACGACAACCACGTAATTAGGGAATATGAATAGGATGCGACGACATAATCTGTACGCGTTGCCTTTCAGTCGAGGTTCTGATTTCCACTTTTCGCCAACAATCGAGGACGCAACTTCGATGTAGGGTGCGAATGCACTGCACTATGGTCGCATCAGCACCCTTATAACGTTTCTGGATCCTTCGTTGCAGTCACCGTCTCTCTCATTCGACACGTCTGCGTTTCCTCTTAGGTGCCCACTGTACCGCGCCTGCTCGGAACCACCCATCATTCTTCTCTGGGCGTCGTTTCCGTTTGGGTACGCGTTGAACCATCTCATCGCGAGTCCATAGTGACGAGGGATTCGCTATCCCTGGCTGTTCCATATGATCCAAAGCGTAGCATATTCTTGGATACCCTGCGGGAAGACCACTTCTTGAGGTTTCAGATTTGGCGTGCACACAAATGTCCACAGAGTGCGTTATCATCGTTGCCAGAAATGGCAGTGAAATGCGTACAATGTAGATGTTTTCCCAACCCTCGGCTGGCCTGAATATGACATTATCTTTCTGCGACGACGGTTGCTCCACAGGTCCAGTGTCAACCCAATACGTGAGGTATCGGTTGAGCCTAGCAGGAAACAATGTCACAGACTCGCAGGTGTCAGAAAAGCTGAAACCCGCAGGCAACTTCCTGCTTTGTGACTCCGCTCCCGGCAGAAAGGCGGACGATGCGGAAATGTATTCGATACAGAGTTCGAGGCAGGGTAATAGGCGACGATCTGGCTTTACACCCAAGGGATCCGTGGTTCCAAGCTCAAGCGTCTGTACTACCAGTAATGCAGTGCAGAAGCATAGCGAGCCCTGACACTGACGCAAGACTTCGGCTGCTAACTCGGCTCGAGAGATGTGGTAGTCGACTTCCAGGTCTTTGCCATCACCGCTGACCAACGAAAGGAGTGAGAACACACGGTCGCGAACATCTGAGCACTCTTGATTCCGGAAGTAGTCAAGTAAATGAACTAAGTTCTTGTTCTTGTAGGACTCCTTCTGCCAGCTGCGGCCAAGTCGGAAAATGGGACGAGATTGCATCTCCTTATCTGAATAGCAGATATAGTCTAGACATTGCACCATATCTCTCAAACCAATGGAGGCTGCGCCTAACCAAAGAGTGACTTGTCGGGCAAGCGCCACCTCTTGCACAATCCATGCACGAGTCCAGTAATCATTGTGAAGAACACGCTGTATAAGCATGTCTTTGTTGTCTTTGAAGGTGTTCCATTCGATTGCGGAAGCTTTGGCCTTCTGTAATACCGGCACAAGAGCGCGGCGATCCAAAATCATCATTCCAAGCCACACGTAGACTCGCAGGGCGTTAGTGTAGATCGTTCCCATTTGACGAACTTGATGATTGCGTTCGAGAACATTGGACTGATCAATGCACAGTGCGTCAATCCAATACGGTCCGAGGGAGGTAGGTGTACTGAACGCATGACTCTCGCGAGCGGTGGCCAGGAAATCGAAGAGGTTTTGACGGATAGCGAACACCTTGCCGTCGATCAAGATGTTGCTCGATGGATCGGGATTTCCCCACCGGTAGGAAAGGCAAATGTACTCGGCATCGACAGTGGTATGCGTGATGGAACATTGGATCTGGCCCGCAGGCGATAGCGAAGGGAGCAGGTGAATGAGTCGGATCGATGGCTTAGTGTGATCCAGAGACTCATGCTTGAAGACACGACTATCTTGTGGTGCCGCTGTGTGGTGTATCGTAACGTCCATCGTTGTCAAGATGGGATGGATGTAACATGTACCAGCAAGGCAGGTGAATGAACAACCGATGTTATAAAGAAGAGAAAGCTGGTGGTTTAAAGGTATACAGCGCACGAAGCGGGGCTATGCTGACCAAAACTGAATACGCCACAAGGCTGAGGGTAGTCGTGATAGGTCACAACATCGCACAGCCCACTGAGTTGAAGTCAGTGATGTAGCGACTGAGTGGCTGAGGAAGTGACCTACAGTGTATAGCGAGGAGATGTAATACTCATCCCTACTGCCCTACAAGCTCGGTTCAGATAGTACGATGAGCACATGGTCTTAACGACTGTCGAGACTGGTTCAGCCCTCGAATTCCGGTCTACCGCCCACATCCATTTCGTTCTCAACACCGTACGCATCTTCAAAGCTCGCCAGCTTGACACCCCACATATCTCCAGCCTTTCCGGGTCTTCCCTCATCAACGTCGATCTCATCTTCACCATCCCAGTTGCCGTCGCCGGGCCACCGGAAGGCTAAAACAGCGCCGTCCTTCAGCCCAGCCCCCTTGGGACATTGCTTGACGTTCGCTGTGCCTGCTTTCGCTCCACCGTTGGCGCTCCCACTGGCTTTCGCTTTGCCTTTACCCTTGCCGCCCTCCTCTTCCTCTTCGCCAATTTTATATTCCCATTCTCCTAATTCGAAACCCTCGTTTGCGTCGTTGATGTTCACTGGCCGACCGAGCTGGATGTCTGACGCGGATGGAGGCAGTGGTATCGACTCGCCGGTTTCGGGGTTCTTGAAGTCGGTTTCTTGTAGAGCGTCGTACAGGTATGTCTTGATCGTATCAAAGGTGTGTAGAGGGTCGACGTGTAGGATGACGGTGGTCTTGTGCGCCTTGAGACGAAGCGTCCAGGTCTGCGGTGAAGGTGTCGCCATCGTGATGTGGCGGTGGAGTAGAATAGGGTATAGTCGTTGGACGTGTATTGTGCGCGTTCGAAGGAAATGTACAGGTATCTGCGAGTGACGCTGTAGTGTGCGAGAGAAAGAGACGCGTTGTTGCTAATTAGTGGAGGGGATCGCGGGGAGGAAGGCGCGACCTGAACCCTTGCTAGAAATCTTGGCGAGTCAAGCTCACGAGCTTCCTCGACCTTCACCTCACCATATATCTGTTCCAGCCCGTACCACGAGACTCAATCGCTTTCTGGATCTTCTTAAGCGCATTCAGTAAAGTGTGTCTAGTGTATTATCCGCAAATTCAGCGCGCGCTCGGAAGTCTGACGAAATCGGACTCGAGGCATCTCCGCACCACCTCCGCACCCGTCGCAAACCTCTCCCAACGGTCACCTTCTCAGGGAGACTACGATTGACCATTGCGCCCAAGGGCACCACAATTCAACAATGGCGACAACTGCGTCCACACCATCCACAATGCCACCCCCAGAACTGCTCGCGACACCACCTCAACGGCCTACACAACCCCTCCCTTATGCACCCCGCCTAGGCATGCCCTTCGACCGGCGCCTCCTCCTCACCACCTCGCTCTCATTCCTCTCCGGCTTCACTCTAGGCTCCCTAAACGCCGGCCACATGGCCTCCCTGCGCTTCCGCGCCGAAAATGCGCACCGCCTGCCCATTTCGAATCCCGGCTGGTACCTGTACCACAAGTCGAAGAATTACTACAAATGGCGGTTCGGCATCGTCGAAGGTTTAAGAAAAGGCGCATACATCGCAGCATGGTCGTCGGTCTTCTTCATCGTAGAAGAGAGTCTAGATGTGTTCCGGGGTACATGGAGCGCGGGGCGTACAATGGAGGAGATGGAAGGTGTGGACGAATTGGATATGCGGAGGATAAACAAAGGGATAGCGGGGAGTAGGGATTTCATTTCGAGTGGGCTGGCGGGTATGGTCACGGGTGGCCTCTGGAGTGCATGGCATCAATTTCCTGTTTCGACAGCTGCGAGGACGATTCGCTTGGGTCTACTTGTCGGGGCTGGGTTTGGGCTAGGTCAAGATGGGTTGATCTGGGCGAAGAACAAGTGGGGTGGTGATAAGCTGGAGGAGAGTTGGATATATAAGGGCGCGAGGAACAAGATGGTTGAGGAGGATGTTAAGAGTAGTTTGGAGAAGGAGTGAGGTATTGGATTGGGAGTGAGTTGGACTGAAATGAGAGAAGAACGAAACACAGGAGATACCAACAGGATCAGTATTAATGCGCAGAAGAAACGCGAGGCTCACACAGGCGAGAGCTATGGTGACAGGGTCAGCGCAGCACGACGCAGATGCTTCTTGAGAGAGCAAATCTCCCAGCGTCGAGGTGTTTGTCATCTGATCAGTGACCGAAGAAGGAGGCAAGGAGAATAGTGGAGACTGCGCAAAGTAGTAACAAAAAACTCATCTCTCAAAAGCCATTTTGGTCTTAATTTGGATATCATTTGCACAGAGTACGTTCTATCGTTACAGTCATGCGCGTCGTCTACTTTTCTCTCGTCCACCACCTTACTCCTTGTCAAAGCGCACAGCCGGCTGTTCCCGAATCCAGCTCAAATCCACCTTATGACCTAGCAACTCTCTGATATTCGAAACGCCATACTTCATCATCGTCGGCCTCTCCAGACTGAGTCCGAATCCGTAGACGCGCATGTCCTTGGGCAGACCCATGGGCTCCAGCATCTCCGGCCTGAACATACCACTGTTGCCAATCTCGATCCACTTGTCGAGACCGACGTGGAAGCCGAAGATCTCCATGCTGGGCTCGGTGTAGGGGTTGAACGCGGGCTTGAAGCGGAGGTTTGTCAGGCCCATGTTGGCGAAGAAGTCTTCTAGGAAGCGCATGAGACCACCGAGTGTGAGACCGAAGTCTGCGATGACACCTTCGATTTGGTGGAACTCGGCAAGATGGGTCGCATCGACGGTTTCGTTACGGAAGACACGGTCGATGGAGAAGTAGCGGGCGGGCCGTGGGTCTTCAGCGAGGCGGTGGAGAGCCCATGTTGAGACTGCGGTTGTGTGCGTGCGGAGGACGAGGCGGAGGGATTCATCCTCTTCCCATGGGTATCGGTCT